AAAACGCGTCAACGACTATATAAAATCTCTATGTAAACAATATATTGTTTATATAGAGATTTTATATAGTCGTTGACACGTTTTTTAAAGATATCTCGGCATCCACTAAGCCAATTTGGATGATTTAACTACCATTAGAACCGCAAGGACGAGCTCTACAATTTCAATTAATTTACAAAATCGATTAACTTAGTACGAAAAAATGTTTTCTTTGGACAAACAATAGAAATTTTTTAGATTCACACTATATTGGATTTACATAGTAATTTGCGTCACGTTACACTATGTTTATTCTTCTGTTGACTGGCGGATTATCAATTAAATGAATAGATTATGCCTGCATCACATGGTTGTAACTATGCAGTAGTAAGTTTTGGAAAAAAAACAACTTTAATATTACATAGGTTTAAACCTGTAATAGAGTGTGCAGAACAATTATCTAAAAGTAGAAGAATTTTTCGACAGGCACAACGCATACAACAATCCAGATTAGATATCCAGTTTTGAAAAATTGAAATTTGCATCCATGCTTTTTTGTTCCAATAGTATTGAACAGATAAAGATGATTTTTTTATTCCTCTTATTGAGTATGGATTTTCAAATTTATGAATAAAAGTGGTGGTAATTTATCACCAACTGCATTGCATGTTAATATTATAGTAACATGATTCTTTAGCTTTTTAACTCCTGAAATATGACCATGTGTAAGTGATTTTGAAGGTTTTAAAAGCCAATAAAGTGCCGTTTCATTACAATTATGAATATCTACTAAATTATAATTTGATGTTTATTTTGTAAAGATAGACAAAATTTAGGTAATTTTTCAATAGAAGCACTAGCAGCTTCTTCACAATGTGTAGTACAAACAATATGATATCATTTTTTGAAACCTTGTAACCAACTATCAAATACAGCAAAATTTTGAATTTTTAAAGTTGCTACAACCTGTTTGGCCTTTTCTTGTAAAATTAACACTGTAATTATTAAATAGTTTTCTAGTGCAAGGTCAAACTATCATGCAAAAATTTCTTCTAATTGTGGATGGTCTAGTAGTTGATTCCGCTTTGTTGTGCCATAGTACTTTCTTTATCTAGACCAAGCCAATATAATGATTGTGCAAGAATATCAGCTACGGTTGTTCGACCGATTTCAAATTTATCTGTCAATTCTTGTTGAGTAAAGTTTGGATTATCTTGTGCAAATTGATATAACATTTTTTTTTGCTTACCAGTTAATATTTTTCTAGGTTTTTTAGATGTTATATTATTTTTTTCTTTGGTTTTGCTTTTATGCTTAGTGGAAATAATTTCACTATTATTATCAGACATATTTCGTAAATTTTTGTGATATATTAAAAAAATTTAACCTTTTATTTATAACATCAATTATTTAAAAACTCTATTTTACTTTTTAAACTACCGCTATGAATATTATCTCTTTATATTTCAAGTTTCACATGCAAGCACATTTTCATATATAAATTTTTTGCATAATATATTAAGAAATATTTCTCACTAACCTTTATTTTCTAATATGTATATCTTTAAATAATTATCTAATTAAGAATCTATTTAATTATTCCTGGATCAATATATATAATAGCTGGTTTAAAACTAAACTACGCATGTATGTACACATAGATTCTTTAATAATTATTCTAAAAAAAGAATCATAATTTATTACAACTAATGGCTATATGTAGTATAGTATTATACCAAAATTAATCTCTTAAAATTAGATTTTCTTGTTAATAAAATAACTTTATAGATATTTAAGTATGCAGGTTGCTAGTTAATAGTCCTAATGTATCTCGTTAGCTCAGGTTTTTTCTAATTATATTTGCATATTATTGTTGGATAAGGTAAGTCGGGAGTAGCTTTTATATGTTTCTTGAAATGATGTAAAAAAAAAATGATCATGGCTATAGTATTTTTTTTTGATACAGTAGCTTTTCTTTTATATGAGATATTCAGTATTGGCTTGACTAGACCAGTTTAACCATTAGACCAGACCAATTTGACCAATTTAATCAGTCTGGTTAAAGAATCTGTGCTAGTCAAATTGGTCATATAGTATATTTAAATATAATTTTATTATATAATATATATATTATATTTATATAATAGATTTGACCAATCTGACTAGTTTGACCATTTGACCAATTTGACCAGACCAATTTGACCAGTAAATTTTTGGTCGACCACTAATTTGCCTAATACTGGAGATATTGTATTGGCTTGGTTAGTGTTATGATTTATAGTTTTTAATAATTAATAAAGCTAATCTAATTTAATTGGTCTATCTATAATAATAGTCAGTTTATAAAATTTTGTTACTATAAACAGCAACAAAAAATTAATATAAATAATTTTTAATGCTAAAATTGTCAGTATGCCAGTATAGTTAATGTTTTTTATAATTGTTGGTATAACTAATGAAATTTTAAGATAATGGATTTTTTTTTAAAAAAAATGTTGATATAATCGAATGTTGGTTAAACCAGCTGTCAGTATAACCAGAGTGATGTGTAAATATTTGATTTTATATATAGTAGTAGATACTTGAACAATACTTGTTTATAGTTTATATTAAAAAACTGTTAAACAACCTCTATACTAAAAGTTATATAACTCTTTAATATTATCAAGTATTTACAAGCTAAATATTTAGAATATTTATTATTAGAATTAAGTTTAATATAAGAGACTCTACTCTAAATTCAATTAATTAATAATCAATTTTATTAGTAAGATTTTTTATATTAAATTTGTTTCTATTATTATTTAATGTTTTTAAAGACTATTACTTGATATATTAAATACTAACTATATAGTTTTTTATAAAAAATATTTGTGCAAGAATAATATTAGACTTAAATAAAAAATTTTAGCATTCAAAAAATCTTTTTCTATCTAACTATATTAATAATATTATTATAAAGAAAAATTGTAAGCAATTCTATATAAATAATTTATTAATATAAGATTTGTATAATTATTAACAATTTTTATAATTTTTTGTTTTTGATTAATTATTTGTTGTCTTTGTTTTGGTAATAGATTACTATATATAATCTTTTTAACTTTAAGATCAACAAACTGTTATTTTTTCTAAAACTTTTGGATAATTGTATAAACTCTTATATATAATTAATCAACTAAAGTTTCAAAACAATAGTGCCAGGCCTTAACTTTGTTTTAAGTCCTTGGAATATCTAAATAGAGTTATAAATAGACTACAAGTAAGAAGAGTAAAAAGATTAGTTATGAATAATAGTACTATTTTGTAATTTTTATTGTAGTTTTTCAAGAACATATATAAATTCAAACTATTTTACAACTTTACTTGTAATTGAAGGTATATATTGTTTTAAAATAATAAATGCAAAGAGAATTTTATTAGCTAGTAAAAATGTTAATATAAATAGTTAGTATAATTTTATACTAAAATTATCATTATTACTATATTAATTAGCTAATTTAACTTTTTGAATTTTTTACTAACTACTTTGCTCAAATAAAAAAAGCAATATTTATTTGTAATATCTAAAAATTTATTATGCAATATATTAATCAAAATAATTCAAAATCTGTAATAATTATTAATAGATTTAGTACTATCTAATAATGCTATATTAGAATTTAACTATATACTACAGTACTATAATACAAGCACTAACTAAAATAAAATTACTAATATAGTAATATCAAGCTTTTGTGCTATAATCAAACTTATCAAACTCTTATACTTGTTACCAATCTAACAAATTCATATTATGTCCTGAATCTATCTAAATCTTGTATTATATTTACCCAAATATACCAACTCTCATATTATATTTGTTCCAAATCTATCTACTTAACTATTGTGCTATAATTATGCTATATTCCCCAACTATCATGCTAAGCCTTTTTAATAATTGTGCTAGATTCTAATTATTATATTATGTTTGTTACCAACTATTATGCTATATTTATCTTAATTATTATACTATGTATAATTATCTCAATAATTGTACTATATTCGTCTTTATTATACTATGTTTCTTTTAAATCTGCCTAAATATATACTATAATTATTCTACTATTTTTTTTTTTTTTTTTTTTTTTCTTTGATAACCATGTACTAATTTATTAGATATTTGTTATTTATACAATAAACTATCTAACTACCTATTAGACAAGTACCTGGCTACTTATGAAGTGCCCAAGTACAGTTATTGCACTGATATTGATCAACTAACCCCACATATGGTACTACCTATATTTAAAGGCCTGCTATAACTAGGTGCTCAGCTACCTATAATTTGAAATTTATGTTTATTTTGCCTATCACCTAGGGGGAAGGGAGTTTGTGATCTGCTACCATAATATTTCTTTTGCTATTTTATACACTTCCTTTACACATTCCTTAATTCTTGTCAGCCAAGACTTTTTCCTTTATTCTTTTTTTTTGTCAAGAATATTTTCTATCTTTTGTTTGAGAGGTATTTGTTTGTCTGGTCTTCTGTATGTAAACTTGAACTTGATGAGCATACTTCTCCTAAAGCTTCTGTTCGTGTATCCTTCTTTAATGCATTCAGGGCCTTCTTATCTTTCTTCCTTAACTTGACTACTCTGCTTATTCCTTTACTTTTTTCCCAAGCTGCAAACCATTCACATCTTTCTCTCTATACTACTCTGTAGAAGTACTCCTGCATGGTATAGACCAGTACTTCAAAGCATTGTCGACTTGAGCTATGCTTTCTATTTATCTCATATAAATGGAGAAAGTCTGCTTGTTGAACCAAGCTGAAAGTAAGTCTTTTTCTTGCATTTTGTCTTGCTTGATAAGTATTGCCATATACAACTTCTTTAAAATCTAATAGTGTATACTCAAATCTTGTCTTCTCCTCAAACACGACCCAGGCTATTGTTAATGCCTGCTTTTTAATTTCTGTCTACACCTTTTCTAAACTTTCACATTCAAAGAGATGACTTATATCTTCAATCTTATTTTCTTCGTACAATACATAGTTTGCTGAAATATATATATCTGGCTTGCACTGATAAAGTATACTTAGTGTAGGGAATACTTGAAAAAGACCTTTTAATCGAATAACTAGTTTATTACTGCTTATCAGTGACTTGCATCTTTGCCCTCTGAGTTTTACTAGTCTTTTCTAGCACAAGTACCATATTGTACTGTTTTCTTTTTCTATTTGTCATAATGGTTTAAGATTTTTTGACGAGTACTATTCACTTTCTATAAGTCTTCTTTTAACTCTAAGTATAAAACTATGCAGAGAGTGTTTGATACTTTTGTTTGACCAAGCTATATCAAAGTTCCACTGTGGCCGAAGTGTACTTGGCTATCTCTATGTTTCATCAAGAAAAGCTCTTTCTTTTGCGATACTATCTGCCTTTTCATTCCATTTTATACCAGAGTATGCTTTTATTTTTACTAGTTCTAACTTAATTTACTTAAATTGAACTGTCTCTATAATTTTGTCCAGTAGTGTTCTATTTTTTTTTTTTAGACTCTTATTGAATTCTTTTTTTCTGAGTGCACTCTTTATTGCCAGAATTGCTGCTACACTATTCGATTTAATCTCTACTAGTATATTTGTCAGAACTGTCAATAACACATATAGTATCACTAATAGTTCTGGTCTTGTAGATGAGGGCCAATCGCTTACTTTTACTTTGCCTATAAACACTACTTCTTTTTCATCTACAGAGACCTGGATCCAGCCTGCCTCCATTCTATCTTCTTCTTTTTTATTATATTTATTTGGTAGCTACAAGCCATCTATATAGAATATGCATTTACTCTTTCTGCCTTTAAGGTTCATTTTTGTTCTATCGAGTAATAAAGCTACAATATTTGCTGAGAGGTTAAGGTTTTTTATATACTCGATGCTTTCTGTCTCTAACTCTTTTGTACTTATAAGTTGGCTCTCTGCTATGTTACTTTCCTTCTTGAGAGAACTGTAAGTTTCTGGTACAATTTTAATACATGTACTATTGTTGGTTTTTGATACATGTTTTACTTTTCCTAATACTTTGTCTTGCTTTATTTCTAACATGCAATTGTTCTCTTTGCCCTTCATATTATATTCATATCCTTGACAGTACTTTACCAAAGTATCACTTTTTGTTAGGCCTGATTCTACCCAATGTTCGACAAGTACTTTATTATGTTTCTTCTTTTGTATTCAGCCAAACAAGAGTTGATCCTTCTTTCTTTCGAACAAGATCCAATCTCTTCTTCTTTTGTCAGGGTAAATATTAAGCAGTCTGGAGACAAGAGCTTTTTTATTTGTTTTCTATAGGTGGAACTGTGTTTT